TGACTACCATGGCAGTGTAGTAGGATTTTAAATCAGGAAGTGAGATGCCTCCTACCTTTTTTCTATTTTTAAGAAATGCTTTGCTTATTCGTGGCTTCTTTCCATTCCAAATGAAGCTGGAGACTGCCTTTTCCATCTCATTGAAGAATGAAATTGGTATTTGTATTGGGATTGCATTGAACATTCTGCAAATTTCTATCCTTTAATTGGTGTAATTAGACCCCTGTAAAGGAATCGCAGTTCGGGCTGAGGTCTGCCATTGTTTGTTCGTTTTCTGGATGTTTTTCATTTTGATTTTTTTCTTTTTTCTTCCTTCTTGCATGTTACCTGAACACTTAATAGATTTTTAGTCTGATGTGTCTAGAGTGGTTTGAGTGTAGCTTGCATGTACCTTCCAGTCATTATCCCTTCACGAAAGGCGGCATTTGCCTTTTACCACCTCCCTTCAGTAATGTCTCAGGGGCTGTTGTCAGTTCATACTACATGTTTCTAGTATAGCAGGTGGGCCTCTGAGCCTTGTCTCTCTTGCTCATTGTTATTTTTGTAAAAATAATTCTTGCTTTTGAGTATTGCAGCCGTTCATTTACTTTCATTTTTGTATAAATAGAGGACCATTTATGCATCATGCTGTTAGAAAGCATTTGTAGTTATGCTGCCGTGAATATTTTTCTGTCTTTTGACAATATATATTCTCATTTCTGTTTGGCATATTTCTAGGAATGAACATATTTAGCTTTTGTAAATGCTGCCAGTCCGTTTTCTAAAGCAGTGTGCTTGCTCTCACACCAGCAGTGAGAGATGCACAGAGGCTCCTCCTTGCCAGATGTGGCATTGTCAGTGTTTCTAGTTTCAGCTGTTGGAGGCAGCAGCAAGGGTTGAGGGGTGGGGCTGTTGTTCTAGTAGCTCATTGTGGTTTTTTTATTTGCATTCTCATAATAATAATAATAATAATGTTTTGCTCATTTTCTGTATTTATTCCCTATTAAGTATGCCTTCTTTCCTGAAGTACTCTTTCTTGTCTTTTGCCAACTCTCTTATTCTGGGCTCTCCATTGGAATGATTCATGGAAGTGCTTTATAGAATCTAGATGTGCATTTTTGGTCAGGAATGCTTTGCACATCTTCTATAATCTGCTTTTCCATTGTTTTGATAGTGTCTCAGCTGAATCATACCCACCCACTGCCATCAGGTGCATTCATGTCTCAGCTGAATCATACCCACCCACTGCTGTCAGGTGCATTCCATCTATAGCTGCTCCCATAGGACAGAGGAAAGCTCCTTGCTCCTTGGAAACTCCAGGGCTTTCAAGACCATGATCCGTACAGACCAACTGCCACATCTCCCATGCAGGAGGTGACTGGTGGATTCCGGTCACCAGCTTTCAGTTACCTGTTGAGTGGTGAACTACCATGTCCTCACTGTCCTCCATTAGCCCTTACACCACAAACACTCCTTTATATCCAGGCTTAGATGAGTAGATGTGTGTGACTCAGGTGCCCTGCTCACATGCCTGAGTAAGCATAAGAGGGAGCAGCACAGATTATCAGGATTCTGGCCTGAATCAGGACTTTCAGGTGTCTAGTAAGTGTATAAACCCTCCCACCCACATGAGCACGCACACATACACACACGCACATGCACAAACAGATGCACGCACATGCGCTCGTATGTATCTACACCTACATAATTTTTCATAAATATCAATCAAAAGCCCCTCTGAAATTATGTAGAAAAGAATAAGTATACTGCATCTGTTCCATCTGTTGTACCTATGACTCATTTATATTGTAAATACTGAAGTATTAGTTGTTATTATGTGTCGTCGAGTCGCTTGTGACTCATAGCGACCCTATGTACAACAGCCCTAAACTCCGCTCTGTCCTGTGCCATTCGCACTGTCTCTGACATTCCCATCCCGATTACCCCAGTCACTAAATCAATCCACCTCATAGAGGGCCTTCCCCTCCTGCGCTGTCCCTCCACCCTCCCAAGAATGATGTCCCTCTCTAAGGACCGGTCCCGCCTTACAACATGTCTAAAGTATGGTAGACCGAGCTTCAGAATCCTTGCCTCCAAGGAGCAGCGTGGTTTAACCCTCTCCAGGATAAATCTGTTTTCTTAGTGGTCCATGGTACTCTCAGTACTCTTCTCCAGCACCACAGCTCAAAGGCATCAGTTCTCCTTCTACCCTCCCTAGTCATTTTCTAACTCTGATGCATAACAAGTGATAGCAAAGGCCATGGCCTGTATCAGATGCACCTTAGTCTCCAGAGAGACACCATTGCTCTTTAGTACTTTAGCAAGGTCCCTGACATCAGACTTTCCCACCACAATACGTCTTTTAATTTCCTGGCTGCTGGTACCAAGAGTGTTGACTATGGAACCAAGCAAACTAAAGCTGTGAACAATCTCAATCTCTTTACCATCCATCCTGATGCTGCCAATTGGTCCGGTGGTGAGAATCTTTGTCTTCTTGACATTGAGCTTCAATCCATTTTGAAGGCTGCAGTCCTTGACCCTCTGCAGCAAGCGCTTCAGATTACATGGAATACCATTTTGGTGGCTGTATGTCAGTGATTAAATAATTGTCTTATTTTTTTTAATTCAAAGAGTTTAATCCAGATGTTATTGACATCTTGAGCACTCCAGAAAACACATCTCAAAGCAGGAGCTCAGTTTCTGAGGAGAGTCTTCATCAGGAACAGCCTTCCGTTTGCAACCCATTTCAGAAGGAAATGTTCACTTACCTGCTGGAAGGATTCAAAGCATTGCTTGTAAGTAGATGATTTTGTTGTACAGTGTTCACTTATACAAAAGGATCATGGTTGATATGTCTGTGTTCACCAACCTAGTGGAAAAATTCAAAGCATCTTTTATAAGTAGATAAATTCGTTGCAGTGTTCATTTATACAGAAGGATCAGAGTTACATGTCTTTGTATCACATTTCCAAAATTCTGTTTCCTTGTGCTTCTCCGCAAGATATTCAGAACCTCAGGCAACTTGAATTTTTATGAAGAGAGCGAGTCATTTCCCTAGTTGATCTTCTCCTTCCCAGAGGACTCCCTCTGTGCAGCCCAGGCACACAGCTCCTGGCCCTCTTGTGTTGCTCATTTTCACAATTGGCAGAGATACTGCAGCTTTTAGAAATTGAAGGTTTGTGGTGAGCCTGTCACCACTTTTCCAACAGTCTATGCTCATGTCCTGTCTCTGTGTCACTCTTTGGTAATTCTCATATTTTATATGTGTTCAGATGCCATTGCTCCTTCACAGGCTGCAGTATAGTATAGCATGATTTTTCTCTACATTAAGAAATCAGCAAATCTGTGTGGCTGACTTGATTGTGACATCCATACTAACACTAGCACAGTGATCTGCTTCTGAACCCTCAGTCTTGCCATCTTACCGAGGTGTGCCTGCTCGGCTTGTGAAATCTATATCCTAAAAGCCAATTTCTAATGTTATAATTTTGTCAAAAGTCAGTATCTGAAAAAAGCAGGGCTTTGTGAGTATTATATTTTGTTTTTATCATGGTGAAACTCACATACTATCACATACCTGCCTTAACCATTTGAAGATTATATGCATCCACCCTGTGTTGAGAGCATCTACCCTGTACTGCAGCCATCACTGCTGTCTGCTTCCAGAACACGCCATTTCCCCCACAGTGAGGTCTTCATCCATACCCCGTACCCACCCCCCACCCACCCCCGGCCACAGCTCCTGGCATCCCCCAATCTACTCTCTGTCCCTGTGGCCTTTCATGGACTAGCCACATAAATGAAGCCTGAAAATATGTATCCTTTAGAACACTTCTTGGCTTAGCCTAATGTTTTCAGAGATTAAAAATAAATAGGTAAATTGAGTCAAGGGAAAGGCAACATGTAATGATATAGATTAGACATTGTGAATAATTACTTGAATCCATTTTAGTTGATGTTATAAGACAAAATATTTATGAGTGCATGAAAATGTGATCTGATTTCTGAACTTTTCACTCAAAAATAAACCTGAAAGATATGATGGAGTCCAGAGTGAAGGCTTCATATAGAGTGGACTTGGGGAGAGGGATTGTATAACAATGGAAGAATTTTTCTTTTACTTTTCAAAGAGAAGGGCAAATGGGGGGGGGGCAGGGAGAAAAGTGCAACAATGAATGAATGGAAACCCTAAAAAAAAAAAAAGAAGAAAATTATCATGTAGCATAGTGATTTACCTGTTTTGGTATTACATTTTATAGTTTATAAATTATCAGCCAACTTTCTCCTTTTTTTTTTGTCTCTGTTCTGTTTGTCCAGTTTTTCCTTTCACTTTACACCTTTTAAATTTGTCCCTCTGTGTGTGTGTGTGTGTGTGTGTGTGTGTATGTGTGTGAAAATACACGTAATGTAAAAAATCACCCTTTTAACACTTTTGAAGTGTACAATTCAGTGGTAGTAGATATGTTCAAAATATTTCACAATTGTTACCATTGTTGAATTCTAAACCTTTGCCACTCCAGAAGGAAATCAGGAGCCCTCGTCCATCTTGCTTTCTCTCTCCCGCCCCTACCATCACCTGGCAAGCACTGACCCCTTCCCTAGCTCACTTTGCCTGCCTCTTCTGGATGTTTCCATGGAATGGAATCCTATACTTGATGGTCTTTTGTGGCAGGGTTCTTTCATTTAGTAAAATGTTTTAGGTCTCGTTTGTGCTGTACATGAAGTGTTTCATTCCTCTTTTATGACTGAATGATCCTCACTTGTACGGTTATATTATTGTTGCCAGCTGCCACTGAGCTGGTCCAGCGCCTAGCAACCCTTCATCTGGCAGAAGAGAGTCGCCTCAGTCCTAATGGTGCATGCACCATTAGTTTATCCATTCATCAGTTGATAAGCTTGGCTTGTTCTTACAACTTATTATCAAAGTGCCACTGTGACCATTTATGTGCAGGTTTTTGTTTAAACACCTGTCTTCCGGTCTCTTGAATATTTACCTCTGAGTAGACTTACTGGGTCCAGTGATAATTCTATGTTTAATGTTCTGTTGAGCTGCCAAACTTTTTCATAGAAACAAAACAATTTTACACTGCCACCAACATTGTACAAGCTTCTAGTCTTTATCCTCTCCAGCTCTCATTATTTTCTGTTTGTTTATTTTAGCTGCCTCATTGATATTAAGTGATATCTCATTGTAGCTTTGATTGGTATTTTCCTGATGATGGCTGGTGTTTAGCGTCATTTAATTTGCTTGTTGGCCATTTGTGTTTTTCTGAGAAATGTTTGTTCCTTGCTCATGGTTTAATTGAGTGGGTTGTCCTTTTGTGAATATGTTTTATTAATGTGTATTAATTCTGTAACATTTTGAATACTAAATCCTTGTTAAACATGTGCTATGTATCTTTTGTGACTTAGATATTTCACTCAGCATAATTTCCCCCAGGGTCACCCTTTTTATGTGCTTTTCGTTTTTTGTTTTTTTTTTTGCTTTTTTTTTCTATAATTATATTTTATTAATTTTCATAAACATTTACAGAGATTTTGGGTTTCCATTCATTCATTGTTGCACTATTCTCTCTACCCTCCTCCCAGTTTGTTCTTGTCCAAATGCCACAGTGCTTGTCAAAGCCAGTTCTGATTAATCTTCTTTGTCAGTGTGTCCTTTGCCATTCCCTATCACTCCTCCCTGAGAGAGACTTCACCCTGAGTCATAAGGAAAAGGGGATGGCGTATTCTCTTAGCTACTTCCTGCTGAAAAGGGACGCTGTGGGTTTCAGGGTGAAGATCTTCTCTCACTACTCTAAAGGGCCCCTTTGGCAGTAGGAAACACATAGACTATTATGGAGATTGATTTTGGAATTTAGATGCACTCTTATTGATTGTGCTTGGCCGTACATGTTCATATCCTTGAAGATGTATCATGGGGGTGTTGCAACCTAGAAGACACAAATTTGACTAACAAGTTATAAGTACATGAGTCAAAAATTATGGAAAAGTAAAAGAAAAGATTCTTTCATTGTTTTACAAACCCTCCCCCAGGTCCCCTCCACCATGTAGCCCTCGCTCTAGACTCCTGTGATGACAGAAATACCTAGTTATATATCTCTTTTAAACAGTTTTCTCCCTCCTCTGTTTCAGTGCAGTATACATTATTGAACCCATCTTACTCAGTCTCTCCCCAACCCCAAGGACAGTCCCATTCTACAACAGTGGCATCATGTAATATTTGTCCTTTTGTGACTGGGATATTTCACTCAGCATAATGTTCTCCAGAGTCAACCATTTTGAATAATATTGCATGAGTTCCTTGTTTTTTAATGCAGCATATTATTCCATTGTGCGAATATACCACAGCTTCTCTAGCTATTCGTTTGTTGATGGGCACTTAGGTTGTTTCCAACTCCTTGCTATTGTGAACAAAGCTGCAATAAACATGGGTGTGCATATATCTGCTTGGATGTCAGCTATGGTCTCTTCAGGGTATATTCCCAGTAGTGGAATTGCTGGGTCAAATGGTATCTCTATTTGCAACTTTTTGAGAAAGCGCCATACTGCTTTCCTTTATGTGCTATTTTATTAGTTCCTTTTTTTCTCAGTGCTGCATAGTATTCCATTGTGTGAATATACCAGAGTTTCTCTATCCATTCACTTGTTGATGGCACTGGGGTTACTTTCATCACTTTGCTGTTGTGAACAATGCAGCAATAAACATGGGTTTTTATTGTGATTTTAACAAAAATGAAAGTTTACTTTTCTGTAAACTTTCATTAAAATCGCAATAATTTTTTTTAAAAAAGCATTTGCTATTTGAATATAATCATCTGTTGTGCAGCTTATCCTTTTTTACTTTCTTCTTGTTGTTGCATACCATCAAGTCAGAACCACCCCATTGCTTATGTCTGGTGGGTTTTCAGAGGCAGTTAACCACACCAGAGGTGATTGCCCATCCTTATCCCACAGAGCAGCTAGTGGATTCGAACCACCTGCCTTAAGGATTGCAGCGCAGCTTCTTGTCACTAGGCCACCTGAGCTCCCTTTGCCCTTTAATGCGTAGAAGTTTTATATTTTGATGAAATCCCGTTTCTCTCCTTCCCCTCCCCCTTTTATTGCTTATACTGTTGACATCGTGTGTAAGAACCCATTTCCAAGAGTCAGGTCCTGGATTGACCCCAGGAACGTCCAGTGGCATTGTGTCTTACTTGTTTCTGTGATAGTCATAAGGGTAGCAGTTTGGATTAACAGAAGAGAAGCCTGATGTCCCCCCCCTGGGAAAGTCGTCAGCCTCAGAAACCCCGCGGAGAGTTGCAGGGCATTGAAATCTACTTGTCATCAGTCAGTGCATTTGGCTTAGTGTCTCTTTTATGAGCTGATAGTTTTCACTCCTCTGTTTACACCTCTGATTTTTTAGTTAATGTGTGTGGTATAAGGTACAAGTTCAATTAGTATGTTTTCAAGGTGTCTGCTTACTGCTAGATTGGTGGTTTAAATCCACGGGAGGTCCCTGAGAAGGAAGATTGTCTCCTGAGAGACAGCGGCCATTGAGGGAAGGCATTTCTACCCTGAAATATAGGGGTTACCAGAAGTTGTAATCAACTCAATGGCAAGTGGTCTTTTAGAACTAAAAGACCACTTTTAGGGGTTTTTGGGGGTTTCTTAGTTATTATGAAGTTGAAATAATTGTTTAAATTTATCTAGCACCTTTAAAATTATGTACTGGGTACTAGCAAGTGTCAGACTCCATTTATCACTTTCTAACTTGAGTTCCTGTGAATCAGATATGGTTGATCAGATGAACAAACCTGTCAGTTCACTCTTTGGGTACTAAACAAATTAAAAACCAACTGTTGTCGAGTCACTTCCAACTCATGATGACTCTCTATCAGGTTTCTAAGGTTGTAAAACATACTGTAAATCATAGCAGGAGAAGACTTCCTGTCTTTCTCCCATGGAGGAGCTGGTGGACCTGAACCACCACTCACTAGCAGTCAGTGCACAATTCACAATGCCACTCGGGCTCCTTTCAGATACTAAAACACTGCTGTCAACTCTAGTCTTCCTCGCTGCATCTCTTCATCAGGTCCCACAGTCACAGATCTTTACAGGAGGAGCATGGCCATCTTTCAGCCATGGAGCAGCTGCTGGATTCAAACTGCCAGCCTTTAGATTGGCAGCCCAATATGTTACACACTACCTTACCAGAAAGGTCAGCCTAATCCAGTAAGACTCATAGATCATGACTCTAAACATATACAGTGTGCAGCTCTGAATAGGGAGACGAACTGCAGGTTCCATTTAGAATTGAATCATTCCTTCAGTGGCCCTGAGGATTAATCATTTCCAAATCTCAGGATTAAATCTCCTGTGGGATTCCAATTTTAAACCAGGTCTAGGCAGCTTAAACAGGGTTTGGCTAACTTTCATGGGACCTCAAGAGAAAAGCTTGTTCTTAGAAGACATTGATGACCAACATATTTGTAGTTCTTTATTCCTAATTCAAGTCTTTATTAGGAATCCTTTCTCTTTTATATTACAAAATGACCATGAGCTTTGATAGTTCTGTTTTCTTACTCATTTTCTAGGTCTTCAGTAATGTTTAAAGTGGCCTAAGATTTTGGTTCTTTCTTTCACATGTGCATATCTGTTAGGGCAGCACTGGGTAGCATGTTGCTTGACAATGATCCTGTTTCCTTCTTGCTCTGCTTTAAGGGCTCAAGTAAAAGCCCCGGATGTAAGCAGCAGTGGACGAAGATCGTGGCGTCCTGTAAGGAGACATTCCGCGTGCAGCTCGGCAGGCTGCTGGTGCACATGCTGTCACCACGCCGCTCTTCACAGGAGAGGAAACAGATTTTGGAACTAGTCCATGAACCGAACCATCAGGAGATACTCCGAGACTGCCTCAGCCCATCACTGCAAGTAAGGGTCTCAGCATTTCCTAAGATAAGGAGAAGCTTCTGGCCAAACAAAGACTGAAATCAAACTGTCTTTCCATGCCTCAGGTCTTGAGAGAGAACCCTCCTGCCGAACGGTTTTACCCAAGGTCTTTCTGCACTTGCTCTTCCCTCAGCTTCAGCTCGACCTGTGTTTCTTTCCTGGTCCCTTCCCAGTGGTTCAATTAGCAAGTACTAGGTGTGAGTTCTTAGTAGATCCTTCGAATCTATTACAGAAATGTGAGTGTTTGTTCCCTTTAAGAACAGTTTGGAAACTTTCAACAGAAGAATATTTTCCTATACTGAATTGCTTATACTGAATTGTTCAGAAGCAATCTGTGTAACATATTTTTTAAAATATTTATCGCTATTTAAAACATAAAAAAGTATTCAGCATTTCATATGATTAAAAGCAGAATACCTAATGAAATTTTATAGTTTATAAATGCTACCACATTAAGTGTGTTTGTGGGGATTATAAATGGTATGGATACTAAGGAGTGCTGAACAGTTTATGATAAATTTAAATATATACTGAGGACTCTGAAATTCTACTTTTAGATATTTACTCAAGAGAACTTAAAACATACGTCCATTACAAGTCTTATATCTATGGAGACTTTTTTTAATAATAGGCAAAAAAAAAGTGGAAATAACTCAAATTGCAATCAAAAGGAGAATATGTAAACAGAATGTGATATATTATGCAACAGACATAAATATAGAATTAAAGAGAAACAAGCTACTAGTCCATCTAAATGTCATTGTTGATTCTCAAAGACAGTATGTGTATGGAAGGGACAGTCAGACACAAAAGAACACATACTGTGTGATTCCATTCATGTGGGGTCCAAGAACAGACAGACTGAGATAGGGTAACTGCAGTCAGAGCAGTCAGTGGAGTGGAGAGGAGAAACTTGAGACAGCAATGGGCCAAGTCTTGTATTGATACCAAAGTGCTGTGTCAGGCTGGGTTCTCTGGAGAAGTAAAACCTGGGAATATGAAGGAGCATTGTGACTGCTGCTTCTGAGACAGATCTGTGGGCTCTTTGCCAGTCTGTGAGGTGGTGTGTGTAAAAGGCTTATCTAAAGGAAACGATCCATGCACCTTTAGAGGCTGGCACACCCCAGGTCTCTGGCACATAGCAGTAGAGACTAATAATGAATTCAAGCTGTGCACACATGGCAGGCTGCTGGCTCAGGTCCAAAGAGCCAGAGAGAGAGGATGAGCCACGTGCAGCTTCGAGAACAAGCAGAAAGCAAGACAGCTCTCCCAGACCTAACTCAGACGTTGGATGCAGTCCACATCCCTGGTGAGACTCGCCCTGGAGCTGTTGACTGCTCAGCAAATCCATCAGAAGACTGGTCACACTGCACCAAATCCCATCAGAGAATGCCCACATCACAGCTGCCAAACCAAAGACCATGGGCAGCCAGGTTGATGCACTTTAGCCCTCAGGTCGTATCTTATTTTGGGTGCAGGTTGTATTGCAGGACTCAGAAATGAACACTACATGTGTGGACACTTGATTGTCTTGCCTATAAAGCCATTGTTGTTGTGTGCCATCCACTGGGTTCTGATTTATGGCAACCCTGACTGACAGGCTAGACCTGCCCAGTCGTTTGCTAGGCTGTGATCGTTAAGGAGGCAAAGCTGCTGATGGCTTTGAACCATCCACCTTTCCGTCCATAGCTGAGCACACAGCGAGTACACCTCCAGACCCCTCCATAGTGTGCAGTTGTCGTTTGCCGTGCAGTCTGCTCTCAGATGTAAGACCCCAAGTTGGCTGGAAGTTGGCTCAGGTCCGTGACCGCAGGGGTCCACCAGGCTCTGTTAGACAGGGCACCTTGAGGACAGCAGACCAGCTTGTCTCTTAACCATGGAGTGACGTTTTGTTTAGAACTGAGCACTTAACCACTGTGCAGCCAGGACTCCTGGTGACTATTAACTAATGAACTTTGGTCTTTCTACATTTGCCTCTTCTAGATATAAGTGGCATCATACAAAACTTACCTTTCTGTGACTGGCTTGGCTCCCATGCTTTGTTTTCACATTTCCATTGTGTAGTAACACGTATCAGAACTTCACTTCTCTTTGTGGCTAAGAACAAACCATTGTGTCTGTAAACATTAGGTTTACACATTCATTTTTTTATGCCTTTTTTTCCCTCCTTGTAAATAACCATCTTAATTTGTTTATTTCTCTTGGAGCTATACATAAGTCTGCATATATAAGTACATGTGTATATCTATACCTATGTATCATTTTTGGAGAGCCAGTGTAAAGCTAACATTTTTTATTTCTTACTCAGGATCCTATTTATGTATCTATCCACAGGCATTAGGACCCTCTTCTCAACAAAAGGAAAGGTAGCAAAGGATACATTCTCCTTTGCAACCTGCTTTTTCACTTACCAATGTATATATTCTGGGAGTCATCCCGTAGCCATCTCTAAAAACCATCTTCATTCCTTTGTCACAGCTGCGTGAAAGCTCTTCTTCATTTGTCTGATGTTTACATTTCCCTGATGCTTAAAGCCCCTGCTTTCTGTCTGACTGTTCCACGTTTCTTCTGTGCTGGTTCCTCTTTTCCGGGTGGGGTCCACACTCTCTGGTGCTCACTTTCACACGCAGCACATTCCCGCGGCACCCCTGCTTCAGTCACTTTGTGCACTGGCCCCCTGGCTTCCTCCTTCCCTCTGTCCATGTTATTATCCAGGCGGGCACCACAAGCCCACCTCACATCATCCTCCTTCAGAACCTTCCCACCTTTGTTACTGCACTTAGAACTCTTCCTTGTTAGAGCCTTTATTGAGCATTTTCTTTTTACACATTTATTGCTCACCCATTGCTGTTGAGCCAGAGTCAACTTCTAGCTGACCGTCCACCAGGTTTTTGGAGGCTGTTAAATCTTTTGGCAGGAGATTGCCCATCCTTCTGCTCTGGAGCAGCTGGTAGATTCGAACTGCCAGAGAGGTGCCACCCTTGGCTTAACAGAACCACTCCCTGAGGACAAGACCACTAGAGCTAGCATTCATGTTCATGGATTCATTTTCTTAAATCCGTTTCTTGAGGGCTGAAAACACACAGGTTTGCTGTTTTGTTTTAGTGGGAGTTTTTTGTATCTATCCTCAATAACATCTTTTACAGTTGTGGGAATTATAATCAGGCAGTGATTCAGTCACTTTGTGCACTGGCCCCCTGGCCTCCTCCTTCCCTCTGTCCATGTTATTATCCAGGCGGGCACACATTACTATTTGAGAAAACTGTTTGTTTAGATATTCAGAATGAATAAAAATATTTCTCATCATGTTTTAAGATAGTTTCAGAATGTCCTTGAATACTGAACGGAAATCTTTTTAAAGTTACATGAAATACATTTCTTCGACACACAAACACATTCCAGTCATTTAGCATCTGCCTTTATTTGCCAACTCCTCGGGCCTCTCACTTGCAGAGCGTCTGTTCATTTTCCTTTGTGGTCAGGTAGTAGCTGTCTCGTGACCAATTAAAAATGTTACATTAAATTGAGCTTTGCTTTGGGAAAAGGACATGCTGTGATCCAACATGTTAATTTAAATATCATCCAAAACGTAAGCATTTCCAAATGCATTTGTTGGCATTTAATACAGTTCACAATTTAAAATGTCATAAGGCCTTGTGCAGTGGGTTTAATGTATTTTAAAATAAAATATGTATGTTTAATTTTTTGGTGGAAATAATGTTTAAATGATACTTAGTATATGCTTTACAAAATAGTGTATTCATTAATTCCTATAGTTTGGATAATTCTCTGACCTTAATCACAAGTTTCCATTCCAGTTCAGTTTTTCAGGGGTAGGAAAGAAAATCCTTCTACATATTCATCATCCTTTATCCCCACCTTGGGCTTAGCCTTTAGGGACTTGCACTGCTAACCCAAAGACCAAACCTCTCTACCAATTTGAATCCACCAGCTACGCTACAGGATAAGGATAAGTAGTTATCCCTCATGCAGTTTATAGCCTCCAAAAACCCACTGGAGGGTCAACAAGGAGTCAATTTGACTGGACACAGGGAGAGCTTTGAATATCTCAAGTTTGTTCCCTGTATCCCTTTAAGAAATATTCTCTGTAGTTCTTTCCCAGAAACTTGTTTGCTTGCTTTACCTTTTACCATGAACATTTTTAAATGCACAAAGAGAAATAGCATAGGCTAGTAAGTGCCACATAACTATTGCCCAGAGTCAATAATTCTCGAATTGTTATAGTATTGGTTTCATTTCTTTTTCTAAAGTATTTCAAAGTAAATTATATTACATGATACTGTATCTCTAAATTCTTTTTTGAGAAGGTATTTTATTATATAATATCAACATTAAGTATAATTCCTTAAAGTCATCAAATACCAAGTACATGATCAAATCTCTCTTTTATTGCCCAAAATGTCTTTTACAGCTGCCTTGTTGAAGTCAGGATCATGCACTTCTTTCATCTTTTCATCATTTCAGTGCTTCTATCATTCTTTTTATCTAGTTTCCACGAAACCAAATGTGTTTTCCTTTGACATTGTCCTATCAAAGAGACAGACTGACTTCCGGATGATCAAACTTATTTGATCCTCTATCTCCTGTATTATTTATAAACTGAAACTTGATCAGAAGGCTTTAGCTTCAAGCCCAGTATCTTTTAGCAACAAGACTTCATAAGTGATGCTGTATGTGTTCTGTAGCATCACATCAGGAAACAAATCTGGTGGTCTCACAAATGCTGGTTCTGAGATTGATGATGGGATTAAAGGGTGACACTTAGATCTCTCCTTCCTGAAATGTACTTGTCCCTTCCCAGTAGCAAGTTGTGTGTGGATGATACATTGATATCATGTACAGGTTAGCCAGTATCTTCTATTTGTATCAAGACTGAAACTGTCAACAACTTCATCTTACTTGGATCCACAATCAACACCAGCATTCAAGAGATCAGGAACCATATTGCACTGGGAAAGTCTGTAGTCAGGGACCCTTCCAAATTATTGAGGAGCAATGATGTAAGATTGAGGACTAAGGTGCACCTTATTCAGGCCATGGTCTTTACAATCACTTGCTGTGCATATGAGAGCTGGACAATGAATAAGCATGATAGAAGAATTGATATCTTTAAGCTGTGATATTGGAGAAGAGTATGGAATATCCTGTGGACTGCCAAAAGAACAAGCAGATATATCTTGGAGAAGGTGAAGCTAAAGTGCTCCTTGGAGGCAAGGTTGGCAGAGGTTCATCTCACATCTTTTGGGCACATTGCCATGTTCCTTGGAGAAGGACATCATGCTTGGAAAGGTAGAGGGACAGAGAAGGAGAGGAAGACCCTCAACTAGGTGGATTGACAAAGTGATTACAGCAGTGGGCTTAAGTGTGTCAGAGATTGTGAGCTTGGCACAGGATAGGACAGGGTTCAGTTCTCTTGTTCACATGGTCACTATAAGTTTTATTCAACAGCACCTAACAATAGTCTAAAGTAGATTTCAGTTGTTCGTTAGCTAAATGTTTGACCACTAATTAAAAGGTCAGTTTTTGAAGCCCACCAGTTGCCCAGTATGAGTTAGCTGGTAGTCTGTTTCTGGGGTAGGGTTCTCTGGTGCCTTAGTCTCTGGGGAGTTGCACTGCTAACCCACAGGCTGAGCCCCTGCAGTTTGAATCCATCAGCAACTCCTGGGAGAAGATGGACAGTCTCCTCCCTTGTGATTCCCATACAGCCTCAGAAATTCAGGGAGGTTCAGCTATGAGTTAGTTCCCACTAAGTGGTGATGAGCCTTGAGAGTTTCTACTGATAAAAACCATGATTTTATATAGGAAACCCTATGGGACAGTTTCACTCTGTCCTGTTGGGCGTTATGAGTGAGAAGCGACTCAATAACACATAACACCACCAAACCAGTATAGATGAAAAAAATGTGCATTTTGAAAACTATGCCAGTATAAGGTATGTGTATAAGAAGTGGGGAGGTGAAGAGTAAGGTTGAAATCATCAATTTCCTGGTAGATTTTCATCTTCTACAACATTCTTTGAGTCAAGGTTGCTAAGAAATTAATCAGCCCCAATTTTATAGCAAACTTATATCCCTATTATTTTAATTTTAAATGGAAATTAAATACTCTAGAAGTTAGATTTTAGAAACTATCCCAATTAAGAAGACAGATCTTTTTAAAATTGCTTTGCAAACTAGTTTCTTTTGGATGATTAATAATGAACATGGCAAATAATTTGGCACCAGCCCAGCTACTCGGTGAAATAAGGTTGGGCAGTCTCCTCCCGGGTGATTAATTGCACCTGAAAACTGGCTGGAAGGTCAGCTATAGGTCAGTTCCAAGTTGACTGCACACAACAACAATTTGTTATAAGGGAGCTTTGATAGCCTAATGATATGGAGCTGTGCTTCCAATCCTAGGGCACACAGTTCAAATCCACCAACTGTTCTGCAGGATAAAGATGGGCACTTTTTCCCCATGCGATGTATAGCCTGTGAAAACTTGCTGGAGGGTCAGCTATGAGTTGGTTCCAACTTGATGGAACAATAACAATTTGTTATAATGAATTAATTGCAATAAATTGCTTCACAGTTAAGTAAATTTAGAAATGTCATTTATGTGCTGTTAAATAGTCTAAACATAAGATAGAAATTATTTATTACTGAAAAAAAAATCCTTTTGTTTTCCAGCATGGAGCAAAGTTAGTTTTGTATTTGTCAGAGTTACTGCTTAATCACCAAGATGAGCTGACAGATGAAGAGCAGGAAACAGCAGAGGTGCTTATGAATGCGCTGAGGGCCTGCGGCCATAAGGGCCTCACCCCCGGCATGGCAGCCAAGCCAGAGCTCCTCAGGATGATCAGAGAGGTGAGCCCGGCACCATGCTGTGTCTCAGGAGCATCTCAAGTGGATGTTGTCAGAGGACTGAAGGAGCTTTTAAAGTCTCTTTTATGATGACCTTGAATTGCTTTTGATTTTGTATTATTTTTTACAGAGATTTATATCATTTGGTGGGAAAACAGCCTTTTTTTAATAGCAAAAGGGGTTTGTCGAAGTATTAAAACATAAGCATAATTGGTAGAAGGTAGTGGTGAGCCCATATAAAAGAGTTAAAATGGTAAAGAAAGAACAAGGTCAAAGGAGAAAGCACCCCGATAGACAGCAGTGAAGCCAAACTTTACAGCATGCTGTTAGCAGAAAAGGAGCGAAAGACAACAAGAGCAGCCTTCTTGTAAGGAGAATGTTCTTCTCTGCAATCTTTTATTCATTGTAAATAGTTATCAGTGATGAGGAGGTTTTCATGGTTTTGTATATGGGCTCTTTGATAAAGAAGCAACTACTACACAACCCGTGTTGTGTTAGCCCCGGCTAACCATCATTACCTAATTCCCATGACCTGAATGGCAGGTAAATAGTAACATCCTTTCAGTAGTTTTTTCTCTTGGTTTAAATATTTGTGTATTGGGCCCATGCCAATGTTAAATGTGATATAAACTTTATTACTATCTGATTTTTTTTTTAATTTTTTTTTAGGAACAGAAGAGATATGAAACTGAAGAAGGAGTAAATAAAGCTGCCTGGCAAAAAACAGTTAATAATAATCAACAAAGGTGGGATTTTTGTTTGGATTGAATTGTGTTCTCCAAAATGTAGGTAATAAATCCAGCTTACAAATAGTTTTCTATATTATATATTTTTGCTGTATCATCCATTTTTTTTATTTCATTTGGATTTATTTACAAAATTTGAAGGCATTGTTTTTCACAAAAGATCCTTCCCAATTTCCTTCACCCCACCCACCCATCAAATTGTGCAACCCTATGATTAATACCCTACACCGCACCCCTCTATTCTCATCCTTCCCTCTGCCTTGGATCCTCATACTCATTCTACAATAATGGTTTTATACAGTGTTTGTCCTTGTGGGACTGAGTTCACTCGGCATAATGCTCTCCAATCCCTCCCAAGTTAGGTAGTAATTTACAAAATCACAGCTTTCTATATTAATAAGATCAGTGTGGGATGGCTTATGAATCAGTCTTCTCGGAGAAATAAAAGAAATTAAGCAAGAAAAGCAGAGATGAGCAAAGATAGATACCTTATCATGTGAAGACTGTCACAGAGCCAGAGAATAGATGTGAGAAAGACAAGGACCTACTTCGAGAGCCCACAGAGAGAAAGAATGCTTTCCTCTAGAGCCAGTACTGCAATTTGAACATCTAACTTACTTACTGAAAAAGTAAAATGTCTATTACATGCATCCACTTGTGGTATTTCAATTAGAGTGGCACCAGATAATGATTATGACAGACTGTCAGTAATTAAAGCATCATATGCAACGTCCCACATCAACTTAACTGATGCAGTCTTCTGTTTGTTTAGTCTCTTTCAGCGCCTGGATTCAAAATCAAAGGATATCTCTAAAATAGCTGCAGATATTACACAGGCTGTCTCACTGTCCCAAGGAATCGAGAGGAAGAAAGTGATTCATCACATCAGAGGGATGTATAAAGTAGATCTGAGCACCAGCAGACACTGGCAGGAGCTAATTCTACAGCTGACCCACGACAGGTGAGCAAGCCAGGAGGCCCCAAGTGAGCCAGCGTGTCCTTATGTACTCTCAAAAGAGTGTGGATTTTTTCCTATTTCCAAAATTGAAATTAGACAGATAGACGAAGTAGAAAGTGATAAAAATTCCAGAATGTGTTGTTGTTGTTGAGAGAAGCCGCCTTACCCAAAAATGTCACTTGGATTTATTTTCTGTTATAAATATGACACTGTAACTAGGGTAATGGGGGTAGGTGTGTCAGAGACAGTGAGATTGGCCCAGGATAGGGCAGACTTCAGAGCAACTGTGCATAAGGTTACTATGAATCACACCTGACTTGACAGCACATAACAATAACAGCAATCTAAATTCGGACAATACTCTTGGGATTACCTATGAAATAATGGTACTTGATTTTTAGACTGTATCTTCTGATAAGCAGCAGAAGAAGTTGGGTTGTTTTAAAAATTGGTTTTCATTGAATCACTCATATACATTTCATTTTGTAACAGTATTACAATTGTATAATGCCATTGTTTACAAGATCTTGTTGAATCCCTGCAGCCCCTCCCTTCCCTTCCACCTTATCCATCTGTTCTCTGACTTCTTCTCCCTCTGTCTCGCATCCTGTACCTGCCTGTCAGCCCTCATTGTTTCTGTCTGTGGCTGAGCCTGTCCTTAGTTTCTTTCCCTCTCCTTCCCTTCCCTCACATTCGGTCAGTTAGTTTATGTATTGGTGGTGATGGTGGTGGTGTTATGTGCTAAACTATTTATTCACGAGTTCAGATTACCTTAGTCGTGTAAATCTTTTTGCTTCTTCATTTGTGATTTATTTACTCTTAAAGGATAATAATATGAGGATGTCATTTTTCAGCCTTAGGGATGGGAGTGAGTAATAGGAGGGAGTAGATTGGCGATATTTAAATATTATTAATTTTAGTATTATTATTAAAATTACTATATTATTTATTCTTATTAATTTTTATATTATTAATATTATATATTATTGCTATGGTCCTTGCCAAGATAAAAAAAGGGAGAAAGGAGCAAGAAACAGGACTGAAACAGAATGGTTAATTAAGAAAGAGATCCTTTACCTTCAATCTAAGACTTTAATAAAATGGTTGTTTAATGTGAAGATGCATCACTAATAATGAAAAAAGCACATTGAAGTGTTATTCTATAAATTTAGTTAAGATAACTGGTTAGTATGAGTTTGTTGTTGTTGTTGTTGTAGTGGTGGTAGTTGTGTGCTGTCGCGTCACATAGCAACCCTATGTACAACAGCTCTGGAGACTGCACTGCCCTGAGCCATTCTCACTGACTCCAAAACACCTACGCCCATTGCCCTAGTTACTGTATCACTCCATCTCACCTGGGGTCTTGTCCTGCACTGTCCCTTTACCCTTCTGAGCATGATGTTCTTCCCCAACTATTGATCCCTCCTGGTCACGTGCCCAAAGTATGTGACACGGAGCTTCAAAATCCTAGCCTCAAGGGAGCTCTGATGGCCTAGTGGCAAGAAGCTGCACTGCAATTCCAGAAGTGCATAGCTCAAATCCACCTGATGCTCTGCTAGAAAAGGAGGGACAGTCTCTTCCTGTACCAGTCAGATCCGATTTGATGGAAAACACACAAAAAATAATAAAATTTTAAAAATTAGAGAAAAAAATCCTAGGACAAATTTGGTTTGTATGAGTTAGTATGAGTTTGTTGTTGTTGTTGAAATTTGGTTTTACCCTCTCCAAGACAGACCTGTTTGTTTCCTTGACAGTCCCTGGTATGATCAAGACTCTTTTCCAGCTTGGTTTTACCCTCTCCAAGACAGACCTACTTGTTTCCTTGACAGTCCCTGGTATGATCAAGACTATTCTCCAGCACCACAACTTGAAGGCATCAATTCTTTTTCTGTCATCCTTAGTCATTGTCCAGCTCTCTGATGCATAGCAAGTAATTGCAAAGACCATGGCCTGAATCAGGTGCACCTTAGTTTCTAGACTGACATCGTTGTTTCTCTTCCTGACAGCAGATTTACCTAATGTAGCTCATCTTTTGATTTCCTGACTACTGGTGCCAAGAGTGTTGATTGTCGAGCTGAGAAAGCTGTAATAGTTAACTACCTCAGTCTTCACCATCTATCGTGGTGCCACCAGTTAGGCCAGTGGTGAAAGTCTTCCTCTTCTTGATGTTGAGCATCAGTCCATACTGAAGACTATATAGTCTTTGACCTTCTGCAGCAAGCCCTTCAGGTCATCCTCAGTTTCAGCAAGCAAGGTTGTATTATCTGCATAACATAGGTTGTTGATGAATCTTCCTCCAATCCTGATGCGACATTCCTCCTCATTTAAAGCTCAGCTTCCTAAATGATCTGTTCTGCATATAAATTGAAAAGGTATGGAAGACAGGACGCATCCCTGATGCACTCTCTTATTGATTTTGAACCATACAAGTCTTTCCCTGCTCTGTTCTGAGGACTGCTTCCTGGTCCAAGTATAGATTTCACAGAAGCACAATCAAGTGTTCTAGGATTCCCATTCTCCTCAAGATTCTTTTTGATGGAATATTTGACATATTTCATGAAACAGATGCTGCCCTGAACATGCTCAACAGGTTATGTCAAGAAATCTGGAGGGCAGCTGCTTAGCCAAGAGATCCATATTTGTTCCTTCCAAAAAAAAGTGACCCAACAGAGTGTGGAAATTATGGAACAGTATCACTGATATCACATAGTAGCAAAACCCTGCTAAAGATTATCCAGAAACAACTGGGAACAATACATTGACAGAGAACTACCAGAAACACAAGCTGGGTTTAGAGGAGGGCATGGCACTAGAGACAGTATCACCAATGTCAGATGGATCTTGACAAAAAACAAGGAGTACTAGAGGGATATATATCTGTGTTTCATTGACTGTGCAAAGACATTTGACTGTGTTTGAGTTTGGAATGCTGAGATAAACTCTTATGCACTACTATGATTTCCAGATGGGTAAAAGAGTTAAACTCAGAAACATTATAAAGCTATTACATGAGTAAAAAGCCAGAGTAAACACTTTATGTGAAAAAACAAGTAGAATTAGTAAGCCCATGGGTAAATATTTCAACATTGTGCAAGGCTAATTTGGTTTTTCTAAAGGCCTTTACATATATTTTATCTTTTATGGTTAAAAAAAAAGTAGCAAACTCACTTAACATTTCTTAAGCTGAAAGAATTGAAGAACAAATTCAAGACTTGAGTTGCAATACTCAGTAAGGATGCTTTGGGCAGAATATTAAATGATCCAAGAAGCATTAAAAGAAGATGAAAGGAATATACAGAGTAATTGTATCAAAAGGAATTGGCTGACATGGAAGAATTTCATGAAACAGCATATGAGCAAGAGCCTGTGGTGATGAAGGAAGAAGTTCAAGATGCCCTGAAAGTGTTGGCAAAAAAAGGCCCTGGGAATTGACGGCATACCAATTGACATATTTCAACAAACAGACATTGCCCTGGATGTGCTCATCAATTAGTATGAAGAAATCTGTAGGACGACCAGATGGACGTACTGGATTTAGAAGAGGCGTGGTACTGGAGATAGTATAGCTAATGTCAGATGGATCTTGGCTGAAAGCAGAAAGTACTAGAAAGTCTGTGTTTCATTGACTACGCAAAGGCATTTGACTGTGTAGATCATAACAAACTGTGGCTAACTGAGTGAAACGGGAATCCCAAAACATTTGATTGTGCTTATATGAAACCTGTACTTGGACCAGGAGGCAGTCTTCAGAACAGAGCAGGGAAATGCTGCATGGTTCAAAATTGAAAAGGGTGTATGCCAGAGATGTCCTATCTCCATACCTTTTCAATCTATATGTAGAACAAAACATCCGAGACCCTATGAGGAGGAGTATGGCATCAGGATTAGAGGAAAACTCGTCAACAACCTGCATTCTGCAGATAATACAACCCTGCTTGCTGAAACTGAGGAGGATCTGAAGTACTTGCTGCAGAGAGACAAGGACTACAACCTTCAATATGAATTGAAGCTCAACATCAAGAAGATGAAGATTCTCACCATTGGGCCAATTGGCAGCATTATGATAGACAGTGAAGAGATTGAGATTGGCTCCACAGTCAACAGTCCAGCAACTAGGAAATCAAAAGACTAATTACATTGGGAAAGTCTGCTGTTAGGGACCTCTCTAGAGTACTGAAGAGCAAAAACGTCAGTCTGGAGACTAAGGTGTGCCTAATCCAAGCCATAGTCCTCGCAATTACTTACTATACATCAGAAATCTGGACAATGACTAGGGATAATAGAAAGAGAATAGATACCTTTGAGCTGTGGTGCTGGAGAAGAGTATTGAATATACACCATGGACTGCTAGGAGAACAAACATGTTCATCTTGGAGAAGGTGAAACCAGGCTGCCCCATAGAGGCAAGGATTCTGAAGCTTCGTCTGACATACTTTGGGCATGTTGCAAGAAGGGACCAGTCCTTGGAGAGGGACATCATGCTTGGAAGGGTGGAGAAGACAGCGCAAGAGAGGAAGAACCTTGATGAAATGGGTTGATTGAGTGATTGGGGTATTGGTGATAGGTGTGTTAGAGACAATAAGGTTGGCACAGGATAAAGCAGGCTTCAGGCCTATTTGTACATAAGGCCACTATGAGTCTCAATTGACTTAACAGCCCATGACAACAACAGGTGCTGATATGCAATAGACAAGAAAAGAGCTGCAGAAAAGTACCCAGTCTTCACTCAGAACTTTAGTAGCATCATACAATTTGGCAATATATGTCAAGACACCTGCAAATATATTTTTAGCTCTAATTACCTTGTTTTAAAACAGTGATACTATTCTAAAGGGAAATTTAAGATATTGAAAAGCAATAAAACTTTTTATTATTTATGCTAAGAAATAAATTCAAAACAAATATACAATAATGGTATTATCATTAAATGCGTTTTGATAAATCTTCTCAACTACTTGAAGTACAGATTACACTACTGGGTTCAGTAAAAGAAGGTAGATCTAGAAGTATGTATACAGAATTATTATAGCCACAAATTATAAACAGGTACATATGAAAAAAGAAATGATGAAAAATAACCATAACAAGCATTTTGTTATGTTTATTTAGGGTAACAAGGAGTATGTGTGATTTTTTTTTAAAAAATATTTTCAGAACTGGCTTTGACAAGCACTGTGGCATTTGGACAAGAACAAACTGGGAGGAGGGTAGAGAGAATAGTGCAACAATGAATGAGTGGAAGA